TCAGTCGTACCTCACAGCGACCCAATAAGCATGACACGCTATAGTATGATTCGATGCTTACACTTGATCATTTCCCCTTCCTCTTTTTCTCTTTGGCTCTCATCCTTTCAAGATTCTCCTCCTTGCTTTCTGCCTCCTATTTATGACCAAGACTATTTCATTTACGCTTTTATCTTCTTCTCACGTTATTCCCCTCGGTTTGCTATTACCTCCCTCTCGCCCCGGGCGCACCTTCTCCACCTTCCCTTGCTCCTGAATGGTCGCGGCTGTTTTTGGATGCTTTGTACTTTTACCTGATTCCCGACGCAAAGACGACGCGAAGAAGATGCGAAGATGAGGAGCAATAGATGCTCCGAATGACTTGTATGTGGAATGGGACTGTTATCTGTTTTTGTTGTTTTCATCATCTGCCATGGTATGAACCGCAGGCGCGAATACCTGCAATTACACAGACCCGGAATTGTATATAGAGCCTAAGGTCACGGGTGATTTTCTTCAATAGACCATGTGAATTGCGAAGAATTATTATTTGCGGCGAAACATTCCTTATTAACTCTTATACTTCTTGATCTCGATCGTCTTTTCTTATTTTTTTTTTTGGTATTTGTTGTTGACGCCTAGTCGGGAGAAGTATGAGTATGGCTACCAGCCGGCTAGCGGGAAAGTGTGACGTAGGGGTTGCTTTTTTTTCCTTCCAGTGGGAGTGGCTGGTGGTGGGGAAAAGACCATCGATGATGTCGCGCGGTGGGATTAAGCTCCATATTGGGTACAGACAGACGTCCCACCATCACGCTCCAGCACCTCCAACCAGGAAAGCTTTTACTGGCCATGTGGTGGGTGCGCTGGCTATAGATTGTGAAGCTGCATTTCTACTTCTGACGCTCTTTGTTCTTTCATCGTGATTCTTCATTCCCCAAGTTTCTCCTTGCGAGATTTGCAGAAGAGAGAGAGAGGGAAAAAAGTGGGCAATATGCCTGGATTGCTTCGGAAGCTGATCGTGGTCGCGGCCGCTGATGGACTTATCCTTCACTCCACAGGCAATGGCTTGCGGCATACTGGAAATAACGAGCCGTCTGCTATTCGCATCGATTATAAGACTAACCAAATCACATTACTTCCTGGCTCCGCCTCGGGACTTGACGATACGAGGGACTCCGGTCTAGAGATTCACGGTCTCGTCGGTATGTGTTGAATATCGCGATTTAGCCAAGCCTCTAGAATGGACTGTGGACCATTCTGTTTCATCTTATCATGTGTATTTTGCGCGCGCATGCTCCTCTTCTCTCCTCGTGTTCTAGTTGATATTCTGGCCCATGCAAAGGGATCATTCACTGATGGATGCGTTCTGCGACCCAAGGGCTTCTATCCGTTGCATCGTATTCATTCCTCATCTCTATCACTCAACGCCAGCAAGTGGCTCAGATCCAGGGCAAACCGATCTATACCATTACCAATGTCGCCGTAATCCCAACATCATCTCAGGCGGACGCGAGTCGTGCAATCTCGCAGGCCAAGGAGAGTCTGCTGCAGGGCGAGGACAGTCACACCGAGACTGGTTCCGAGGATTCAACCACGATATCTGATACAGAGACTGAGGGAGGCGATACTGAAGTCGGCACTGCGCCGGCTTCTCCCGAACAGGAGGTCTCTTACTCCCGGACACGCAGCGTTGGCAGCATCGCTGAAGATGTGATCGGAAAGAAGGTTCGCTTCGGACGGTTCGCGGCGAACTGGCTCTCCAGGAAGACACTGGGCCTGCCCGGACTCGGCACAACCAACCAGGAATCTACCGAAGCGCCCATGGGAGATCTCAGGGAAAGCACGGCAGAGTCTTCCCCTACAATCGCCAAGGTGAACGAGGACGGCGAGGCAACCCCAGTGCCTCGAGGTGATAATGCTTCGTCGAAGAGTCTCGCGGAGCCGTTCGGTTCGGATCCTACGGTCGAGTTGCTGCCCAAGCTGCTGCGTTACACGGAGATGATTTTCTCATCGCGCAATTTTTTCTTTGCCTACGATTACGACCTTACCAGGAACCTTAGTGTGCACGAGCCCGCGCTGACCACCCACCTCCCACTTCACAGATTGGTCGATGATATGGTGAGTACGCGGTCTTACAAGCTATGGGGCGCGTTTAGTGGCTAATCGACCATGTTCAGTATTTCTGGAATAGAAATCTGCTTGCGCCCTTCATCACAGCCGATGCTCACGGCTTTGCTCTTCCATTGATGCAAGGGTTCGTAGGTCAACGAGAATTCACGGTCGGGGCAACTCCGAAGCCTTCATCATCAGAATCAGGTAAATCAGACGAACAACAGGTCGATGGCCGGATTCTGGGCGATAAACAGGAGGCAGATACCGTCAAGACCGATGAGGAGAAGCGCGATTTTCTCGTCACTCTAATTTCTCGACGGTCGGTGAAGCGACCAGGCTTGCGATATCTCCGCCGTGGCGTGGATGATAATGGTAATACCGCCAACTTTGTTGAAACAGAACAGATTCTCTCGACGTCTGACTGGAATCCGACACGCAATGTCTACTCGTTCCTACAAGTGCGAGGCTCAATCCCGCTATACTTCTCTCAGTCCCCGTATGCATTCAAGCCAGTCCCCGTGCTGCATCATTCCACAGAGACGAACCAGCTCGCCTTTGACAGGCATTTCCGAAATCTGAGTCGGAGGTACGGCAACGTTCAAGCAGTATCCCTCATAGATAAACAAGGTGGTGAATTGAAGCTCGGGGAGCAATACGAGAAATTTGCTCGGTTCTTGAATGAATCAGGCGGCATTGATGGTGCGCCGCTCAAGATGGAGTGGTTTGACTTCCATAATGAATGCCGAGGGATGAAGTTTGAAAAAGTAAGCCGACTGGTCGACCGGCTGGAATCAACGTTGGGCGAATTTGGCGACACGATGGTGCAAAACGGTACCGTTCTCCGGCGCCAGTCTGGGATCACGCGCACTAATTGCATGGACTGCCTCGATCGCACGGGCGTTGCGCAGTGTGCTTTTGGCCAGTGGGCTTTAGAGCGGGAGTTGAAGCAGGAAGGGATAGACCTCGACTTGAGACGCGATTCCTCGACACACTGGTTCAATACCCTCTGGGCGGACAACGGCGATGCGATTTCTAAGCAGTACTCCTCCACTGCTGCCTTGAAAGGAGACTATACCCGCACTCGAAAGCGGAATTATCGAGGAGCGTTGAACGACTTCGGGCTGACCCTGTCTCGTTACTACAACAACATTGTGAACGATTACTTTTCACAGGCCTGTATCGATTACCTGCTGGGGAACGTCACGACCGATGTCTTCCAGGAGTTTGCACTTGAGATGCAGACAACCGATCCAGGCATCTCCGTGCATAAGCTTCGGCAGAATGCCATTGATACCAGTTGCAAGATTGTCATCAGCGATCAATCCGAGGAGTTCCTCGGAGGCTGGACACTGCTGACCCCCCGACAGCCGAACACGCTCCGGACCATGCCATTTGAAGAGGCCGTCCTTCTTCTCACGGACGTTGCTCTGTATAGCTGCCGGTTCGACTGGAACACGGACAAAGTGTTGTCCTACGAGCGGATTGATTTATGCTCAGTGACCAGAATCAATTATGGAACCTATGTAACCTCTATCTTGACGGAGGCTCAGACTGATGAGCGCAGCAATGTCGGGTTGGTGGTGGAATATCGCGAAGGCGACAAGAACGCATTGAGGGTCAATACACGGTCTCTGCAGAGCCAGGTGCCTTCCACGAGTCTCGACAGTAATGCGCGCCCGAGCAGTGAGTGGAGCATGTACTCGTGGTTCAAAGGCGCCCCGCACGCGGCCACCCGCCTGGTTGCATTCAAAGCCCTTCCACAGGTCATGGGGACTAGCAGTATTAGCCCTTCGGACTGGGTTCGAAGCATCTGCGAGGAAATCGAGCGGGCCGTGACGGCAAGCGACCGGCACGGCCCTCCTGAAGATGGCAAACAGCGATCCCTGATTGATTCCTCGGACATTATCTCGTTGGAGGAAGCGAAGAAACGCACTGGATACCTGGAACATCTGGTGTATGACATTAAGAAACTGGTCTGGGCATGAGGGTTGCATTTTGTTTCCGGCTTATCTCGAAGCAAGCGAGCGGAGTTAGATTGAATACTGCGATCTTTTGGTGTTGACAGAAGGAAGTTATACATGTCAGGCATTGCGGGTATTTGATTTCTGTTTGGCAGCAGGAGTTCAGCTCATGTCCTTCGAAGACTCCAGCCCGGTTCTCGATGGGATTCTGATCATGATGGTCCGCAACGGTTCAACCTCATATTATTGTATGTATCTCCCTGACCACGCAAAGAGACGCACGAGGGTCGATCTGTCGACTAAATTAAGCGGGCGTCCATGCATGTGCTGAGGATGCACGTGCGCACACTTTTCAATCATTCAACCATGGAAAATAGTGGCATATAGACCAGAAGAGAGCCACTTATGTTATTATGATAAATTCAGTGCGGTATTAACTTATCACACCTCAGATAAAGTTGAAGGGGAAATAAATGCAAGAACGTCGATATCAGAGAGCCAGGCCATGCCAGAGATAAGATACCGGTTTTTACTGTGCTGTACCATGACCGCTCAGGCAACTAGTGATCGTACAGAATAGTACAGTACGGTACAGGGTGACCACCACCCATTTATCCCCCTCGAAAAAAAGGATGGTTTGGTGATTGTAGCCTTCTTATGAACTGTGCCTTTATTGTCTATCCTATGACCAATTTTCTATGGTTCTTTGTTGTTTACACCTGGTGTGGTGTATGGCCGGTGTTCAGCAATCAATAATCTCCATTCGCCCCACGGTCGCCGGCCTTTCGTGGTTGGCCTGTTATCTTTGTACTGTACAGTACAGTACGTCACGTCGTTGGGTTATTGCTGCAAGAAATCCGGTCTGACCCCATTGAGTGATGATCATATAGGACGAGTCAGACATTATAGTATTCTTGCTATGGAGCGGAAAAGAAAGAGCATAAAGATGGACAAAGCAAGGATGGAGTAATTACAGTAGTTACAGTAGTTGGTGGGAGAAGATGCTGCAGTGGTAATTAATGAGTTAATGAAAGGGTTGCCGCCTTTTTTTTTTCCCAGCCAGACGGCGGGGTTTCCTTCCCTTGGGGCGAAACCACACTGCAGACTAATCCTCCCTGTTGCTGCTGCTGCTGCTATTGCTACTACTACTACTCTTACTCCTACTCCTACTACCAAATTACTCCTACTACTTACTCCTACTACTACTCTCTCCCTCCCGTCTCTCCCTCTCCCCGTCCTTCCCTCTCCCACTCCCGCATTTACTTCTTTCTGCCTCTGCGCATCTCCTCCCTCCCCCTCCCCCCTCCTCCCCTCCCCTTTTCTTTTTCATCATGGAGTGGCAACCGCAGGATGAGCCATTGGGCCAGTTGGCCTGCTGTCTCAGGGATTCTTTGAACGGTTTCGATCGCTCGGCTCAAAAACAGGCCGAACAGGTGTGTGCTTCTTTTCCCCCTCCCCCTCCCACTCTCGCATCTGCGAATTTCTGTCTGCCCGCTTCGACTGTTTCTCTTTCTTTTACCAATACCGTCCCTGAGACCTTGCGCTTTTGTCAGCTCTTACCATATGTTATCACCCCATTTTAAGAAACCTTTTGAGCTGGTCTGCTACTGTTTGAAAAAAAAAAAAATCAAAATGACTGACTGGAGCTCTCTTTTGATCTTTTTCTTTCATCTGATAGATGCTAGTACAAGCAACCTCCTCTCCAGATTATGTCAACTATATTACCTACCTCTTCTGCACTGCACAGCCCCCTTCGCATCTCGGTATGAACGATGAAACCTACAACCTAGTCCGTTTCGCCGCAGCTGTGAACCTCAAGACCAAGATCCGCGTCGCCTATGCCACAATTCCTCAAACCTCTCTCACCTATATCCGATCAGCGACTCTGACCAGTCTACGCGACAACAATTTACAAGTCCGGAACTTTGCCGGTACGATCATCACAGAGTTGGTTCAGCAAGCTGGATTGTTGGCATGGCCGGATGTTCTGAACGAGCTGCTGGCGCTTGTCGAAAATTCGGGAAACGTACCGAGCTTCACTCAGGAGGCAGCCATGTCCGCTCTCGCCAAGGTCTGCGAAGATAATCGCAAGATCTTGGATCGCGATTACCAAGGACAGTGTCCGCTCGACGTAATCATCCCGAAGCTGCTGGAATTCACCTCCAACCAGAGCGCCAAGGTCCGTTCGATGGCCCTCCGCACAATCCACGTCTTCCTTCCCCACCGACCCAAGGCGCTTGTCGCCTCCCTCGATTTGTTCCTGTCGCAGTTGTTCCAATTGGCCAATGATGCTAGCACAGATGTCCGCCGGACGGTGTGTCAGACCTTCGCCCAACTGGTGGATTTCGCCCCGGAGAAATTGGTCCCGCACATGGAAGGGCTGGTCAACTATATCATCATGCAACAGAACAATCAGGAGGATCCGGAGCTCGCCCTCGATGCGGCGGAGTTTTGGCTGGTTGCGGGTGAGCAGGTGAAGCTGCAGCAGCCACTAGCCCCGCATATGTCCCAGATCGTGCCCGTCTTGCTGCGGAGTATGGTTTATGACGAAGACGAGGCCAACCGCTTGGCGGCAGAGGGCGAGGATGCGGAGGAAGAAGATCGCGATCAAGATCTTAGACCTCAGTTTGCGAAGTCGAAAGCCGCTCGTCTGGATACTTCTAAGCCGGACCAAGCCAACGGCAATCCCGCCCCTGAGGACGATGACGATGAGCTGAGTGAGGGTGAGATCGAGGATTCGGAGTTTGGAGACGATCCTGAGGATGAGTGGACCCTCCGCAAGTGCTCCGCTGCGGCCTTGGACGTGTTTTCCAACGTCTACCACGACCCGATCTTCGAAACCATCCTGCCCTATCTGATGGAAACCCTTCGTCATGAACAGTGGACACAGCGCGAAGCTGCTGTTCTGACTTTGGGGGCCGTCGCTGATGGTTGCATGGATGCTGTCACGCCCCACCTCCCGGAGCTCGTTCCTTATCTGATCTCGTGCCTCAATGATTCTCAGCCTGTCGTTCGCCAGATCACTTGCTGGTGCTTGGGACGGTATTCCGAGTGGGCCTCCCATCTGGCCGACCCTGCGGAAAGGGCCCGCTACTTTGAGCCCATGATGGACGGCATCCTGCGTCGCATGCTGGATGGGAACAAGAAGGTTCAAGAGGCAGCTGCGTCGGCTTTTGCAAGCCTTGAGGAGAAGTCCGATGCCAACCTGATCCCTTACTGTGAGCCCATCCTTCAGCAGTTTGTTCAGTGTTTCGGCAAATACAAGGATCGGAACATGTACATTCTGTACGATTGTGTGCAGACCCTGGCGGAGTGCGTCATGGGTGAGTTGGCGCAACCTCAGTTGGTGAACATCTTGATGCCTGCTCTTATCGACCGCTATAACAAGATCACCGACCAGTCTCGGGAGCTTTTCCCTCTGCTCGAGTGCCTTGGGTATATTGCCGCCGCTTACGGAGATGCATTCGCCCCATTTGCGCAACCTCTTTTCCAGCGCTGCATCAAGATCATCTATGAGAACCTGCAGGAGTATATGGCCTCAGTCAGCAACCAGGGTGTCGAGGAGCCTGACAAGGATTTCTTGGTTACTAGCTTGGACCTTCTGAGCGCAATCATCCAGGCGATCGACCCGCAGAAGAGCGGCGAACTGGTGGCCAACTCCCAGCCCCGGTTCTTCGATCTCCTCTGCTTCTGTATGGAGGACCCAAACTATGAGGTCCGTCAGTCGTCGTACGCGCTGCTGGGTGATTGTGCCATCAACATCTTCCCCCAACTCGAGCCCTTCATCCCTCAGATCATGCCAACTCTGATCCAGCAACTTGATCTGGATACGATCCGAGATGACGATCGGCACACGGGATTCAGTGTGCTCAACAACGCCTGCTGGTCTTGCGGTGAGATCGCGGTTAACGAGAAGGCGGCTTTGTCGCCGTACGTCGAGAAGCTGTACCAAAGGCTCTACATCATCATCAACAACGAAGAGATTATTGATTCTGTGAACGAGAACGCTGCGATGGCGCTGGGTCGGTTGGGAATCTGCTGTTCGGATCAACTGGCGCCTCGTCTGGGCGAGTACGCTGGCGTCTTTTTGAAGTCGATGAATAAGATCGAATTCACCCGCGAGAAGGCGTCGGCGTTCCTGGGCTTCAACCAAGTAGTCATGAAGAATCCGCAAGCCATGGAGTCATTCCTGGGCGATTTCTTCCAGGCCATTGCGGCCTTTCCCAGCAAGTCTTTGAACCAGGATGACTACCGAGACATTCAAACATCTTTCCAGCAGGTATGTATATGAACTTCCAGTTCGGTCCGGGATTGCGCTAACTGGGGGTTGTAGGTTCTGCAAGGCTACAAAAATATGATACCCAACTTCGATACCTTCCTGTCGCAACTTCCGGCCCACGTTGCCCAGAGACTTCGTTCTGTATATCAGATTTAGATCTATAATTTCTCATGTTAATGTCCCATCTGAAAGTTTCAAAATATCACATGGCGAAAGGCGTATAAAATTTTCATTCTCCTTAATTTCTTCTTTTCTGTTCCGTCCCTTCCTGTTCCAAGTTCCTGGCTTTTGAACTGGAGTCGCTTGTTGTTTTCATGCCGGGGACAGGACGTACTCGCAGTTGATCTGTCTCGGAAGTCCGCCATATGTGAATGTGGACGTGGAGAGATTGAGTCCTACGGCCCACGTGTGGCGTCATGACAATCACGAGGATTTATGAGGGAGTGGCGGGATGAGCTGAGTAGCCATGGTAGGGATGCGATGCGATGCATGCTGGTCTTTTTACACGTATGTGATCATGATGAGATGAGGATTGCATATGATGGACTTGTCACCGAGTCTGAAGTTCTTTAGTCTTCCAGCTAGCCTTACATAGATTCTATTTTAGTCTTAGAAAAGTATATGATGAACAGGCCTTGTCCTTCTCCCGTTTCACTATGGAAACTTCAACATTAGTCGTGGTGCGCCTTGGGGTTGTCTGGTTTGAGGAATGATCGGGTTGGTAATTAGGTAGGTAGGTTGTCAGTGGATGAGCACACTCTGCAGCCATGGTATTTCCATCTCGACCAAAGTAGACTGAAATGACATTCGCTCGCTGAGGGGATCGATCGGTATCTCAATCCTCTCGGATCCATGCCTAATAGACCACCCGTGCTAGATTAAGGCAAAAGGATATCTCCTAGACAGTTGAAGTATCACGATTGCAAAGCTTCAATCTTCTTGAGTTCAATCTCCTCTTCAAATCAATGGCTCGAAGAAGAAGAAGAAGACTTCTCTGTCTCCACCGCATCGGAGGGGGGGTGTTGCCTACTACAGTAGCACATGGGATGGGTTCTGGAACTGCCATTGGGGGTGGGGGGTGGTCCAGGCATCAAGATATGTATCATGGATGTGTACTGCAGTGTGCCGATCAGGAAGGAAGGAAGGAACGTCCCGGAACCTGACTAGGGGTTGTTGACCTGAGCTCTGGCAGGTGGAGGGATTCATCCATCGCTCCTCATCCCGAACCAACCAACCAACCGACCAAGCACATCCGAGCCAACTTCTTCTGATCTTCTTCTGCATCCATCCTATACAAACACACTACATATATAGGCACATTAGCCTTCTCGATGAATGTTGATCCTTCAGCTAAATTACTGCTTACTGCCGACTGCTGATTGCTGACTGCTAAGCTAAACTGCTAGTCCTGTCACTTACACTTAGTCTACTCTAGTGTCGCGTAATTAATCTGGATGGATTGAGGAACTCGGCAAACACAAAGATGGCATCAATCTACGGGGTGGGACTGTTGAAGGCGGGTAAGACATATGAATAAGGTGGATATGCACTGGGTACTGTACTGTACCTAGACATGGCATGTTCCGACCAGCACCGAACGAGAACCCACTTCGTTTGAACGACCAAGGTAACCCGTCTGATTAGTGGTCTCGGGAGAAGGATTCCTCAGTGGTTGGGTCAGTTGTGTCAGTGAGATTTTGGGGGCCCCGTTCGATATTGTACTATGTCGTGATCGGCAAGAAGCCAGGGCCAAGGCCCCCTAAGGGAGGAGGGAGGGATTCGCCACGTGCTGGCTGGCTCATGCCCATGCCCCATGCCCCATGCCACTGGGCTGAGGACTGTACTGTACTAACTTGGAACTTACTGCGCATTTCCTACAGGGGAAGAGAAGGAAAAGGGCCGGGCCCGAGTCGAGGCCGTTCAGGCGGGGGGTGCATGCAGAGTTTCTGGCCTAGTGGGTTTTGAGGTAAAGTGCAGTTACTGACAGGGTCAGACTAGACTATCCAGTGAGAATTTTTTTCTTCGAGGTCGGATCAATCTATTTCGGCGAATTCGGAGAATCTTCCTCGATCTACAGATTCCCTTTGTGGGGTTGTCGAGCCCGACTTTGGCAGCCTTGCTGGATGGATGGAAGTGCGAAACGACTCGTCGGTTCATCCTATGCCAGATTTGCATTATAAAGTAAGTGGTATTCATCATTATCATTGAAAACTCAATCATGTTGTGAGTAAGTATTGTAGTTAAGTGGTTGGTGGTTTTGTTCATGTCATCGTCATCACACGTGTGGTGGTATAGTTGGTAGATCAATCAACAAGAGGCAAAACAATGGTTCCCAAGAATCCGATCCCCTGTCCAGAATCCCTTGCCTCATCGTACCCTGATTATAACACAGCCCTAACGCCGAGGGTATATCGCCAATGGATTATCACATCCCATTCCCAGGCTCCTTGTCGTCCCACCTCGCCCTAGCCCTCTGCAGGCTAGTAGGCTTCACTCCGCTTTCGGTTGCAATCCATGCTGCACAGCCCATACTCCAGTTGTGGGAGTGAGGAAGATAGTCACAGCATTGGAGAGAGAGAAGCGAAATCTCAATCACTGGCATAGCATCGAAATGCAGAATAAAGATGGGGAGAGGAAAAAAAAAAGAAAGAAAAGAAAGAAAAAAGGTTTCATGTCCGCTCTATTCAGCCATTCGCTCCCATAACCAGTTCCCGATTTATGCCGTATTTTGTTCCGTAGCACCAGGAGAGAGAAAAAATAAATAAGAAAGAGAAATGTTCACACCTCTATCGCTAGGTGCACACACTACCATTCCATCCTGCTTCTGGAACATGGTAGGCCCCGAACACGGGATGGGGTTCTTCGTAGAACTGCATATTCAGCCCTACGGATCCATCCACACGTGGCAGCTCCCCGCAGACCACATCATTCATGTATGGAGGCGGGAAGAGGGGCGAGTGCTGCAGGGACCCGGTGTGACTGTAATCTGACAAGTCCTCGCGTGGATCGGAGAGTAACCCGGGCGACGGAGGGTAGAGGGCTTGGGAGGAAGGAGGAGCTGTCACATAGGACCCGGTGACATCAAATTGAGGACTGGCGATCGTGACGGCGGGAGGCGACTGGAGGGGCGGAGTGTAGGGGGCGTAGGTGGCGGAGGCTGAGGACGGAGAAGAAGAGGAGGCGAGGCGGTAGTCGGTGGGATTGTGGTAGGGACTGGGGGGAGCAGGCGAATAGTGGTCAATTGAGGTGCGGGGAGACCATTGTAGACGGCTCTTGTATTTCGCAACGATATGACGAGGAAGGTCCATAAACGATAGCGCGAGCTGAACCTCCGGGTTGAACGGATCCGTCGCGCTTCGTGAGACGATGAGCCGGTAGATCTCCTCAATCGGGCCCAGAGACAGTGGACCTAGATACGCCCCTCCCAAATCGGGAAACAAGCTGTCCAGAACGACTCCGACGCCAAAGAATTGCGCCAGGATGGAAAGAGAACCGACATTTGCGTCTTCTGGCCGCAGCATGGCCGGTGGAAGCCAGAATAGCCACCGGCGGAGCGGTTGCATCCGCTCGAAAGCCTGCTCGGGTGTCTGAGCGAGAAGATCTCGCTGGAAGTGTCGTACAAATTCGAGGAGTTCGCCAATCCGACGATAGTGATCGTGGTTGTGCGAAGTCCGCTTCTGGATTGCCTGCAGTGCTACCATGGCTTGGTCGAGGCTAGCCAGATCCTCGTCCTGGAACTGGTAGCCAGACAAGACTGGCGTGTTGGTGCAGCCCAGGTATCTCTGGTTCTCCAAATACATAGCCAGCTCTGACTCATGTTTCCAACTGGGATGCATCGAGTTCAAGACCTTTTCTCCCTGTTAGCTTTTCGTTCGCTATCACACGAATTAGGTGACATACTGTAGTCAGACCCTGCTGCAACGAGGCCCAACTCTGCCACTCCGAAGCCTGCCAGGACAGGAGAATGGAGGAAGCAAGGATCGCATCACAGTTGTCTTGGGAGAATGTGCCGATCGCCTTATGGAGTCTTTGGATGGCAATCCCTCGATGGTGATATGCCAGCTGTTTGGTCTCTTGATTGCGAGTGATCCATGCCAAGTGAGAAGCTGCCATGGTCAAGATGGAGCTCATGACGAAGTCATTGGAGAGGGCAATGGTGAGGAAGCTAGCACGCAAACAGTGTAAGCCAAATGCTCGCGGTAGATTATTGCAATTGCAAAGACACTTACGTTGGCATCTTCTGAGCCCAAATGGTGCAGTTACCGAGCCCACGACGGTGGAGATCGATGGAGAGGCCGATGATGTGGTGGACCAGCCGCAGGTCGGTCCGTGATAGCTTACTCCAGCTATTGCGAGGGAAGTGCATCAACTCGGGGAATGGAGGCACGCCCGTGACGTGCCAGTTCTTGATCTCTGCCTCGATTTCCGCTGACATGAGGAGGTCGGGAACGTTGCGGATCGAGGAGGCCTCCTCGTGCACCGCCGCGACATCCATATAATCACAGCGACAGTTGTGCTTGGTGCAGTTGCGGCTACTTCGGGGTTAGCAGTCGACATATCAGAAACAGAGTGATATATACCATTGAGGAAAGGTTTCATCGCAGCGAATGTGACGTCTCTTGCATGTCTTGCAACCAAACCGAGACTTGGTGTGGCTCTTGCGAGGCGGACCACCACCGGGACCAGCCATGTTGTCCGACTGATCAGGGTAACTGTGTTTTAAAAGTGTTTTGATCTCTTCGAACACGAAGTGTGCCGCAAAGCAACAGGCACAGAGCACAGGAAGGTGGTCGTGGAAGGTGAATTTGGATGGTGGAGAGCGAGCGTGGGGGACAGGAGGAAGATCTGGAGTAGATAAACGAAAGGTGATGGATGATGAAGAGGGTCAAGATGCGGAGATGGGCCAGTCGCGGGATAGTATGATCTAATATATCCAAGGGAAAATAATAAGACCACCCAAAAGTGACTATCAGATCATGGGCGCCCACGATAGGTCGAAGCAATGCAGAGTCCAAAAATAACCTCGAGCCGCAGCCCCAGGCGAAGATGAACAGACAGAATACACGTGGGAAATACGAGAAAACGGTGCAGTTGAGAGTGTCAGTGGCCGGCCTTATATTTTGGACTCGGTCTTCTTGATTGCAATCGCTTGGCTATCCTTGGCCCTAAACCACTCTCGGAGACAAAAGTGGTGAACAAGGAGGAAGATGTGTGTGAGAGAGAGGGAGGAAGAGATGGGAGGGGGGGGTGTAGGGATATGAAATAGACGAATGAAGCTGGAGACAGACAGACTGGGGGGGTATGAGAGCAAAAAGATGGAGGAATACACTGAGTATAAAAAGACGCAGGATAACAGAACACAGACAGACAGGCCCAGCACCGGCCGGCCGGTAAGAAAGGATGCAGCCACTTTCAGCTGCGGGTCGAGGGACCGTTACGGTGGATTGGCATCGAGGTAATTTTGGGTTGATCAGAATAAAAAATCATGGGTCAGTCCGATAATCTTAACATCTACTCCGTAAATAATAACGATTAATCAGATAGGAAAGGAATGGAAATTCAAATGGAACTAGACACAAAAAGAATAATTATAATAATAAAATAAGCTGAAGAGTCTACAGGGAATAGTCTAGTATAGCGAACCAGAGAATGACAAAACCAAAATCAGTAAATAACACAGCTAGCGGGCAGTGTACTGGCAGTTTGTCCATACGGCCGTGACGAAACACCAATCGAAAAAAGAAATCATAATCATAATAATAATCAAATTCTCCATCCTTAAAATAAAACCAATTAAGCTAAGAACGGGTCGAATCTCTGGGGATAGACTAGGAGCCAAGATGTTGAGCGCCACGGTACGACCGGTCAGATGCTGATCTCCAGCAGAACCACAGTTCCAGTCATGGTGAACAATGCAGGACTAGAACAGGCGATAAGAAAATAAATCAATGGTAATAGAGAAAGAAAAAAAAAAAAAACAAAACAAAAAAAAAGAGTAGCACTGCTCCTGTGGCATGAAAGACCATACACAGCCCAGTAGTTAGACCAAATCAAACTCGAGGTTCCGCAGAAGTCAGCAGCAACAACAACAACTACAATAATAAGCAAAGAAAGACTATTGTCTGGTCTATAGGTTCGAGCCCTGTCTCGAATGCTCCAATGCTCAGGATGAATGGAACCATTCAGCGATTACAGCAGATGTGGCCGTCATGACGATAGAAGATGACTCCTGATTAGCCGGTGATTACTTATGTAGTTGGGTTAGTGTAGTTATAGGTTAGTAGCTAATTGACTGGGGAGTTGGTTGAATAGGTATGATAGTGTGCAGATTTCCCATCAGATACTGCTCAGCGCATGGGTTCTGATCTCTAATCAGTTGCTAAGCACAAAAATCATTGACTGGAGGGGGGACTTTGAGCCTCCTCGACTGGATCAGGATTAGTTTAATTGTGACTAGGCAAAAAACTAGCCCTGACTGGTGAAGTCCATCCATGATCCATTCAGGATCCATCCAGAATGAGGAATCCACTTTCTGCTTCGGGATAGTCTGGAAAATCACTGGGCATCATTGGTCGCTACGATAACCCCCAGTCGCTCAGCCCGCCAAAAGGCCAATGGAGACGGAGGGCACCGGGGGAGCCACATGGCAGCATCACCGCCAGGTGCTTGGGCCATCAAGGTTGAAACACCCGAAGCAGATTTCATTTTTGCCTCCCTGTCAGAAGAAGGCCAGCGAATATGTGTGTCAGCAAAAATAAGTTAGTTATTTAAATAACTAAGTTAACTAAGTAGTTAACTGACTACTAAGGAACTAACTAACCAAGTCCCTTGACTAAATAGAGGATGGCCCTCCCTTTCCGCAGGAGGAATGCTGGACCGGAAAGGTTGATGAAGAGATAGCGACGGAACGAATAAGAAGAGAAAAAGAAAGCATAGGTGAAAAGACTAAATGAAATGAGAATCAGAAATCAGAAATAAGAAATAAGAAATAAGAAATAACTCCTGTAGTACGTAGGAGGTTATCTGTTTCAACCACAAGAGGTGATGCATCCAAATCAAACCCGCTGGACCTCCCGCGCTGTCGGACAATGCAGCAGGTCGGGTCTAAGCCTCCCAGACAATCGGGAATTATTCAAGGTGAACCCCGGATGCCCTTCCAATTCCCCGTCACCTTCTTCAAACCTAAAAATGCTGTCTCTTTAACATTCTATTTCCCCCTTAGATTCCGTATCAGAATAGCATTCACAGTAAGGGAACCCAATTACCCCTTGAGCCGGAATCAGACCATCGAAGCGAAGTGCCACAGCGAATCTAGCCCCGCGGGTCTTTGGGCGGTTTGTGGTTTGGTGGTTTGGTTGTGTGGTTTGTGGTGGTGATGGTGGTGGCGGTAGGTGGGTTGTCACCGACGGACAAGCCTCCTCTAAACTCTTTTCTCGCCCCAAAGAGCGAGTGGAGGTGGGCTCAAAATGTATGGTAGGTTGGCACGCCTCCTTCTCCTTCACCTGTAGGAGGGCTTAGAGACGAGAGACAGAGCGAGAGAAAAGTCTGGACGGGGTCTGCGGAATCCTCAACCCAAACTCTGGCGGGAACGTAAACATGGTTCCGCGTTGCTGTCTCGCTGTCTCTTTCCGAAACCTCAGGCTCGACATTGGTCGGGATAGCTTTCCCCGTCTTACGAGTTGGGCAATCTGCTACTTTGGTACGGACGAGTACTATACCGTAGGTAGTGTAGTCTCTATACTAAGTATGTTCTGTATGTGCTGGACATCATATGTAATTATGTACGGAGGTACAAACCTCGAAAATGGAGGGATCTTGGTTCGGGTCCGGGGACCAGGCGAGTCCCCTTAACTACCAGATCCATGACACCCTCATTGACATGCTGAAAGCTATGGCATCGACCAGCCATAACCAAGCAAAGAGTCCAGACCCCCAGAAGCTCCGATCTATAGTGGCGTTGACTTCTGCTGGACAAAAGGAGTTCCCGTGAGCGTTCCCCTGGGCATGAACCATATCAATGATGATGACTCGGTCACGCTGTCAGGGTCATCACCTCGCCGGATCGGATGAGTTTAGACGAGAGTGGACACCGATCAGCTTCGCCTGTCGGCAGTGAGTCTAATTTTGATTGCTATAGACTCATGGAGATTTAGGGATGAACGGGTTTAAACTCCTTTGGCTAGTGAGGAAACTTTAGTATCTTCAGGACCCCGCTTTTTCCAAACTGCCACAGCCGTGTTCCCTCTTTGCAGGGCCGATCCCAATGGGCGGACCACCCAGTCAACGTTTGGGACGGGCACTGATCCTTGTCCTCCTTGGCTGGACAGGCCCATGATGGTCGTGCTGGGAACTGGGAAGACAATTGGGAAGAGAAGACTGGAGGGCAAGCGAACCCCTCCAGATGGCTCTGCAATCGATGACGGTTACCTTGTAGCTGGTCGGGAAATAGTACCACCACCTTAACTACTCGGGTGATGTATAGGAGGCTTGTATATACATTGACTTCATTGAGTCTTCTATTAGTACCAACTTTGCCAGACGGAAAAGGTGCCAGGTGGAGAATGATGCTCACTCACGGGGCCAAAGAAATCCATTGCTCGATAATAAGCGACCGAGTGATGAAGATAGATTTACTTACTTAGCTAATCGCCTTTGGACTTTCCTTCCCCGCCCTCAGTGATAATCAAAGTGGTTAACTCCTTCCCATCCGTTCCTCGTGGAATTGTCGACTTTTGTCGATGGCCGACTTCCCCTCCCCGCCGCCGAGCACTCTATGCACTGTACTATACCTCTACATTGCATTCACTTGCCCTGCTGCCCTCTGCTGCCCACGGAGGGTCGCACACCGACACTCCAATAATGAATAGAAAGAGCTATGCATTTGCCTTGCGAGGCGAACGAGCGCACTTCTGGTTGCTGTTCATGGTGCCTGAGAATAACCCTCCTTCTCGCTTCCACTGATCAAAGGAGTAGTGAGGCCAAGACACGCCTCAATGGCCCATGTCACAACCTTAATGTGCACTAAAGAGACCACCACCAGGCTTACCAGCAGTTGCCCGGCCTCGTAGTACGCCAACGCGCTGTAAGGTCTTCCTTCCCCCCTTCCCTTCCCCCCTGATCTGTTCTGATCGTTATGAGTGTGGGCAATGTGGTCTAGTGCGGACTACGCGGACCCTCTCTTTCTTCGCCTCCACGGGGTGCACATTAGACCATTACTCATGGTCCGGTCGGTCCAGCGACACCGGTTTCATCCGAATTTTTCCAGAGCATGGGCCGATCACTCTACGTTTGGAGCATTTCACTCCATGACGGGATCTCTCTCTAAACCACAACACCAGCAATGAACTGGTAGCCGCCGCCCCTCTTGTCCTAAGCGGCATCAATGGCAAGTCTCCTATTACCAAACTGAATGGGGTCATCGCAGCCGAGCACTGCGCCATTGCACACCACACCCCAAACCACAAGCAAATATGCAGGTGGCGCATGGTGGATGGGTACTAGGTACTCCGTAGTCACTCTTCTTCCCTGGTTTCTCCTTGCCGAGCACAATTGTCAACAACATTTAGTCTACCAAGAAGACCCTTCAGACTTTCGGCCGGTCAGCCTTTAACAAGTGTGCTTAGATGATCCTGCCGCATGGCCATGGAGAAAGACTTCACACTCGCGCCAAGAGAATATCTCTCTTCGAAAGACAGCTGAGCTTGTCTTGGAATCAAGCCATGGTCACATTGTTTTGGTTCATCGACCGAAGAGATAACGATACCATTATGCACTAATAGATATACATCTCTCAATTTTGGTTCTCTCTGGTTTGCGACCCGCCCCCTTGATTTCTTTTCCGACTCCTATCTCATTTTGATTTTCGATTCATTTGATTTCTTTTTTTTTTTTCTCTCCATTTCTCTCTGTCTCTAAGATAAGTGTCGGCCCGCGCTAAACGGAGGGCAAACAGACTAAACTCAAAGCGGAACTGCAGGCTTCGGCTGGTCCTTCTGGAACGACCAGCAGGTCCAGCACACCAACACCACTTGAAGACTTTGGGTAGCCTAACGCGCGCCCTAGTCCGTCATAGCGTTGGCTTTCCTTTCCCAGTATCATTTCCATTCTTCCCACCTGCAGAGCTAGTCTGGTTATGACTAGTGGTCTTCGCTTGTAAGCCGAACACTGCAGCGGCGCCCATCTGGCGTGCAAGGTGGGGAGGGGATGCGGCGCCCGCCAACCAAAATAACCTTGTCTGAGTGGACTCAGTGGAGAGAGAGGGGAATCAGTCAACAAATTTGCCAGAGGTGAGAGAAGAGATATTTGAAAAGATCCGGGTGCTTATGCCCAGAGAAAGGTAAATCAAACCTTGGAGACGTGATTTACGTAGTCTGTCTCCCCTTCTGCAGGGTCATCTCATCCCATTCATCCTACCATCAGCCATCGTCATCACTTTGTCAGGGATGTTCACCAGTTCTCGCGTGCACATGTCTGTCTTCCTTCGCACGTCGCATTCTGGGCGCAGAGTCGCACAGTTTCAGCCTCGACGACTTGCGCTGGGACCTCCATCCAGCCCGCTTCCAAGCAGAGAGCCCCCCCCCCCACCCTCCCTCCTTCCCAGCGTCCCATCGTCTCGATCTGAATTATTGAGTCTTCCCAATCGGCCGGATGAGACAGCATCAAGCCGTCAGCTAGTCTAGAATGAAGAAGAGATTAGCTGTCCGACTTCCGACCGTCCGATCGTGTATCGACCCGACCCATTTCGGTCGCTCCCCTCCTCTTCCGTTTTTCTTTGGTAATCTCCAATCCGGTTTTTTTTTTCTGTCCTGTGGATTCGGGATGGCGGTCGTCTCCCGGATCTACAGTGGGGTAGGATCAGGAGAAAGGGGGGAAGAAGAAGGGGAGACTCGGGAGAGTAAATACGGCGAGTCAGTGACTCGCTGGCTTCTGAGTGAATCTTAGCTAGCCTACTAGCTAACTACTGGCAAGTTTTGCATGACAGACCGGCCGGCCGGCTGACCGACAGCTACGCTTGCATTAGTTTCTCAGATCGAACTGTAAATAACGACAGGGGGCAGGGGGAGGGAACAAGGGCAGGTAGACTAAGGAAAGAGGGAGTCAAACGGACGCAGAGGGTGCAGAACTAGAAAAAAGAAAACAACAAGAAGCGGTCATCAAGACCCCTCCTAACTGATCTAGTACATACAGTACAGCCAGCGATCTGAGCTACCTTGTAGTAACAGGAAATCACCACGACACAACTCTGGCATCTCTGATTCTGATTGGAGGCGAGGAGGGGGGGAAGCTGAAGGTTGAGGATGAAGGGAGATGGAGAACGACTTAGTCAGGTACCTAGTAGGTAAGTTACTTATCTTAACTTTCCTCTTGGCACTTACCAACCTTTGACGATTCCGGTAATTGGTCAAGGAGGCTGAAAATCATCCGACTCCCAAGTCCCCGTCGAACATCCCATCCCCCCCCCCCAATGCCCTATCATCCAACAATGGTTTAGTTGGTTTCATATCAATCCGGAGGAGGGCAATTACTCCCCTTAGCCTACAAGCAGAAAACAGCAGTTGGTGCCAAATCATCGAAAAACATCCCGGGCCACCGGTCCGGGTTCGACTAGCAATTAAGTACGTACAGTACTCACTTTTTACTTTTCAATCTCCCCCCTCGGTCAATGCGGTCAATCCCGGAAGAGGCTGAGACTTGGGTGCCCACAAAATTCTCTTGTCAAATAGTTTGGCGGCCTTACAACGTGAACCCGAGTATAGGGCCCAGCTTCCTAGTACGGAGCACTCATAGTCATCTTTACCTTTTGGACTTTTGTTGTTGTTGTTTGGTTTCTTGTGATATTGATACCGTACCAGTCACAGAATATCTACCGAAGAGCAACCGTAAAAAAATTCGATTAACCAACAAGGTCATACACAAATACCATAAACCCATTAAAGACTATTATAGAGAATGAGGCGCAGAGGACATCATCAGCAGCAGCAGCAGCAGAAGCAGCATCAACCCAGGATGGGGGGACGACCCAGACTTGACTTTTTTTTCCACCTGCAGAGACCAACACCGATCATGGAGGGGTAAGCGGCAGGAGGGGGGGGGGGGGATGCAGTGTCACACACAAAAGCCTCATGCCACGTTTTTGGGGGGGGGGATCACACATCTTGCAAGAATAGACGGGCTGTGGCAGGGAAGGGGAGGGGGGCCATGTGACGCTGATGCTTGAATGATGCCGAATTACTATGATGAAGAAGTGATGCGTTGATGATCGCATGGCTAGCAGGCATCCCTGTCCTGTTCTGTCTAGGGGGCCCTGCTGTCAGCCGAACGGAAGTATAGATTACCTTAAAACATCAGATGGGATGATGATGATTAGTAGGTAACTTGGTGGTTATTCGTAGTACTAAGTTTATTTGGGTACAGTACTTTTCCCCGTACATGACAGTTGTTGCCAAGCTTGGGGGGGGGGCGGAAGGGTCCCCATTCACATGATGAAAATGGTAGAGTCGATATGCATGAAATGAACTTCTCGCGAGGCAACAAATGGTCTGTTCTTGTTCAGACCCTTAGACCTTTTCGCCCAGGCAACCGATGGATACTTGGCGCGCTGGCGCGCCGCGGGTGGGATGGTATCTTCGCCTAGCTAACATACCTACTCATTCTGACGGGCCGACGGTGTGCAGATAAGTTAATGATAAGGCGAGGGGGGGCGGAGACGACGGGGGGAGGACCCTCATTCCTGGCTTGCTATGCTAAAATGCCATGCGATGGGCGGCCATGGTCATTCCGTGCTTTTAGGGGTCCGGTCCTTGCAGCAGTGGCAGTAGCAGTAGCCGCCGCCGCATGAATGTGGATGTGTGGTGTGTGGTGTGTGTGTGTGTGTGTGTGTGTGTGTGGGTGGTGGCACTGTGGCAGGATCGCTCGGCCGCTGGACCCTTTCTTTCGTTTCGGCCGCTGCCATGCTTTTCTTAGATTGAGAGGGGCGCGCGGCGCGGATCCTTTCAGATCACCCGATGGGAAGGAAGAGGGGGGGCGCGCGCGGGCAAGAGGATTCGGGAGCAAACTGGAACTTACTATATTACTATAGTTTGTTACCGAAGGTGCAAAGAGAAGGTCGAAGGTCAAGGAGAGTGGATGGAGTGAACCTCCCTTCCACAGCGTGGCTCGCCGATGTTTACGGGTTAGTGACTGAGTTAGGCTCTGTGGTTGTCATACAGGGAGGAGGGTAACCCTAGAGGCCGGACCCGACTACACCTAGACCTAGACAAGACGCACAAGTCAAAGCAAACCAGACACAAGAGACAGAGACAGAGACAAGTCACGGGACGGGAAGTTTGTATGTACTCCATACAATTCGATCCATTCCCAGAGCAATGGATGAGATTGTAATGACACTTCCTCACTCGCCCGAAGGGAGAAAAAGGGTCAGCCCAGGCTAGCTTTGTTCAAGGTTCCCTCCCCACTAACCCTGGTTGGGTAAAACCCCGTCGGAGATATCCGATCCTTCAACCGAGAGCACCAATAAACGATCTCAACCCATCCTCCGCATTTGATGAGGGACCCAGCGTCGAGGTCCTGTCCCGCTGCTCCGCCAAACAAAAGAAAAATCGACCCAAAAAAAAAAGAAATTCCAAGCTACGGAGTACGGACGGTGCCACAAACCACCTCCGTCAAAAGCTCGGCAACTTCTTGGCACCAAACTCGATCTGGTTCAGCCGATCACCAACCATTTGACCCGTGGAGCTGTCTTTGCTTCGCTAAATAAGGACAGATTGGGTTAGCGGGCGTGGAGATTATAAGCCCCCCCCTGCCAGCTTCCAATAGCGTGGGTCGGCCAACTTTATCTCTCCTTCCCTTGGGAAAGAAGAACTTTGGGGTTGGGAAGATGATGGGACCCGAAACATCATTTCCGACGGAAGAGAGCGAGAGCTTTCTTCAAAGTCACGGGAATGGTGGATTGGTTATTTTTTTTTTGGTTGCGAGGAGGAGAGGAGAGCTTTCGAGGAGCTATCCCAGATAGTTTAGACTCGAGATACCTTTACCTGGTTCTTGTTGTTGTTGCTTGGGTCAGTACAAAGGGAACAGGAGTGAGTAAAGAGAGTGATGAAGTATGAAACATCGTCATCGTCGTCATGACTCGTGAAACCTCTTTGTCTACTCTGTCTCTGCTCTCGCTTTTCGCTCGCTGTTTCACTTCTTCCTTCCCTCTGTACGTACTGTAATGACATGACCAGAAAATGTACATTTCAGACTCCCAAGTATTGTCTTCGAAGTTCATAATGTCATTCCAATTACTCCGAAACTTGACGGGGTTGATGTGCTTGTTGTCTGCCAGGTAACTTAAACAGTATCTAAGAAGTTCGGTTTGGTTTTCGCCCCCAAACACCAAAGGATTCAAAGGAACGACAAATCAACCCAATGCTTGGCCTAGATCCATGTCAGAACTCAGAACACTGATGGAATTCAGGAAAGAATATCCTCCCATTGCCCCTCTACTCTTCCCCCCTGTTGTCTTAAATCCTTGTAGTCTCTGTGATTCTCTAGTTAGTTATTTTCAGGTCGTTAGTCATAGAGTAGGTGATCCAGCACTAACTGACTAGCTTCATACGTACTGTACACCGGGACATGGGGGTGGGCTGACTAAGGGTTATCGATGGTTTTGCAGGACCCAGCCCGCCGGGCACTTGGTCTGTTGTGTCATCTCCGTACTATGCTTCCCTCTCTCTCTCTCTCTCCCTCTCCATCCACCTCGTACAACTAATGTGTTAAAGTGGTACTACAATAGGGGCAATATCTCAGATGAACCATCTCAGTGGAGTGTGACTCACTCCCTTTTTCTTTTCTTTTTTTTGCCTTTTTTTTCTTTTTCTTTTGCTCATGATCGATTTTGCATTGTTACTACGCGTTCTGCAGTTTGACTGTAGTTACTCCCACCTCAGCAATTTAGGCGAGTGTACAGTACTTCACCCACTTAGTAAAGACCTCGCGTAGATTGCCAGTAGTAAGATTATACGACTTGTACCGCGCTGCGGTACCACCATCACCTTCTCGAAACTCACCCTATGCCCATGCTCATACTCGATCTTCAGCTGCAGGATTCAAGTAAGCCAAGAGATGTCGAAACGATGGACACATGGCAATGCACCGGGGGTATTTGATCAAGGCTACTTATTGGACGAGGGTGTATCGATGGTGAGAGGGACTGCACTGCCCACCCATCAGCTAAGTATCACCAAATTAGTCTCAACTGTTCTGAAGATATATATTCTAGATCTAGGATTACCTATACGGCCGATGAATGGATGGGTTCTTCTACTTAGAGAGATAAGAAAGCCCAGAGGGAAGGTATCACAACGAACATACACTGGTCTAGCAAACCTTCCTCTTCGCAAACATATCTCTGGCTTAGTAGAGAAATGCTATTCAACCATCCAAACTTGACCCAAATGCAAGACCAATCCGCAGTGCTATAGCACATATCTGGAGAGGCGAACGAAGCACAGAAACCTCCAAGCATGGCGAACATCTTTTTCTCCGCCACATCCACAGAACTACCAGTAATCAATCAAGTTTAGCTAACTATAACCATGAGCTAATATACAAGGGTTCCCCCCCCCCCCCCTTCTCTCCTCCAAACTATACATAAGCTACATATAGGTGACAACCCTACAATGCGCTAAGTATGAAGCCCCCCTCCGCCCCCCCCGGTCGATCAGAATTGAACTAAAACTTTTTTAATTAATGTTACATCTCAACCTCCCAGTCCCCCCCCTCTTATTTCCCTTGGTTCCCGTCCGCCATGCCGAGGGGGGGTTAGTGCATGAGATCTTGATGTCAAACAAACACAAAAAAAAATGGTGGACTGTGGTGTAAGCTGCAGCGTTACACGGATGATGGACATCGCTTCTTCACTGTACTTTCCCGCTGGTTGCTAGATCGAAACACCTTGGTGTTACCTACGTTATCTTGGTTGACTAATTGCTTTAGGGGGTCGCTTGGCGTTTGCTTATGGGGTTTTGATTTTTTCTTTCTTTGCTCCAT